TGTCCGGTAAGCGGAACACTGTGGGTTCGATTCCCATCCCTGTACACTTTATTTTTCCGTTTATCATTACTCTTCACAATTCATCCTTTCATACTTCATCCCTAAGGTTAGAAATAATCGTTGTTTTTCCTTAAAATAAATTTCGATTATTCGTTCAAAAGAAACATTTGCGGTATAATTGTCAAATTTCGTTCTATATATGGATTGGTTTAAATTCAGAGAACCTCAGTAACGTAGTTATACCTGTCGAAGGGCTGTTGAACCCGAATGCTTGTATTGTTATTATATATAAAAGAAACTTTACCCTCAGCGAATGTCTTTTATTAATAAATTAATATACATTCCCCTCGTTCCTTTCTTTGTCAATACAGTTTATTCTATAAAATTATTACAAGATAGAAAAATAGCTTATTTTAGATGTTGTCTTTGCGACCCTATATCGCTTTCCACGACGAATTTGATTTCAATGAAGGATATTAATATATACAGTTATCAGCGTCATAATCAAGCAACAATTCTTAATCAATTCTGTCACCGTTTGCTTTGTGAATGGAATAAATACCCAAATATGGCCATTTCTCATAACCATCGTTGGTTCAGTGGTAGAATGCTCGCCTGCCACGCGGGCGGCCTGGGTTCGATTCCCGGCCGACGCATTTTTTTTTTTACAATTTTAAAAACTCATTTATATATTATACAAGAATGACATCCACGGCGCCAATTTATAATTGTAACGAATAGTATTTGAATAAAAGCATTTAATCGGGTAAAACCCGGGCGTTGCCATTCGGCTAGTAACATATAAATACAAGACAATAACGCGTCATCTATATATAGGAACTGACACCAAATTACGGTTCTTATTACGATTGAAAATATGGGGAGGGTATGGCTCATCAGTGGAGAACACTCCCAGAGGTTCAGATATCTCAATCCACCAGACCGCGTTTAGAGCTCTAATACTGTATTGGATCATTCTGCGCTTATACGCCACACTGAAGGATGGAATCTCAGAAATAATATTTAATAAAATTATAGACATAGGCTTTTAGGACAGTAGATAATTATATATAAATATTTGCATCGAGCAATGCTCTTCCGCAAACAATAAGGACAAGCAGTAAGAATAGTTGAAAGTCTGTATCATTTGGTTTGAAAATAAATATTCGTGCTTTGTGTGTGTGTGTGTGTGTGTGGTGTTTAATTTATCTTGGATCTATAGCAACTTATTTCCATATTTACACGAAAGGCTCACTCCTCTTCATTCAACTACACTTCTCTTACAAAAGTAAAGTCAGCAGTGCGTTGAAATATCAAAATAAATTTCATATGTCTCTTCCATTTAAGGTTTATTTAAAATATGGGAAAATACTTTGTCCTGATCATTACTTACATTTCGGGTAGTTAAGGCCAGAATTGCGTGAGTCGCGGTCTCATGTTTCGCCGTTTCATGATTTTTCAAGATGCCTTAATGACCATTTTTTTTTGGTCGTTGAGGTACAGCTTGCACCACGCTGATGAGGGCCAACAGCCCGAAACGCGTCCATGGTTAGCCTTTCTTGATTAACCAAGAATGGGTATTGGGCCAATTCTGGAATAATTAAAAATCAACGAGAGTAGTTGATATTTATTCCGATAGATGGCGCAAGCCATCAGCAACTTTCAGTTGCACGATAAGGAGATGCCTTTTTCTAAATATGTAAATATGTAATATTTTATTTTCTTCTTTACGCTTCAAATCAGGTATTTCATATTAAATTCTTTCATTAGCAGAATTAAAGCAAATTGTGATTTAAAACTGTTTTTATTTATATTTTCTAGATTTTCAACACGACTGCATACCAATACCATTTAGTACCCATTTACTCAATAGAACCACAGCAAGTATTATATGTATCACTATAATATATACATGTCGTGATCAAATGGAAGGATGCAACAGTTATGCACGTAAACTTCAAAGAATTAGTTCCAGCCAAATGATGAGCGCGCACACGTGGCGTGCCGTAGCATTCGCCCGCGATGTCTGCCATGTTTATTTTGTACAGTGTATTTATAGATAGATGCACCTGTATTCACATTTTAACACAAGATTAACATATTTGCAGTTACTTATTAATATAATACCTATTTTGGCAAAAATAAATTATACCTCTTGGGTATTACGCAAGTTATGACATATATATATAGAGAGAGAAGGAAAAAAGGAATTTCCTGATCGTGCAACTGAAAGTTGCTGATGGCTTGCGCCATCTATCAGAATAACCATCAACTAATCTTTGATTTTTAATTATTCCAGAATTGGCCAAATACCGTTTCTTGATTAATCAAGGAAAGCTAACCGCGTTTCGGGCTGTTGGCCCTCGTCAGCGTGGTGCAAACCGTACCTCAACGACCAAAAAGGCTGGTCTTTGGGGCATCCTGAAAAACCATGAAACAGGTATTTAGGCCGGAAAGGCGTGAGAACGCCAACCAATGTGAAAAAAATAGTAAAATCAGGAAATGCCTTTTTCTTAATTTATCTACCTGATCCAAATACAAATTCACTTTTGCACTATTTTTCATATATATCAAGAATCTCCAATGTTGTAAATAAAAGCTCAGAAGTTGTTTTAATAAAACTAGAGCAGCGAGGTGTCCATAAAGAGGACTTTCAGAATCCCGAGAAAGAGGAACCCCTATAATGGGGAGGGACGGGGCACATAAAACGTAATGCACTGTAATAAAAGATTCCATCACTGGAGACCTAAGTGATAGAGAAATATAAGGATGTACTGAGAGAGTATTTGTGGTGTCTGAAGAAGTAAATAAATATTGAACACTCTGACATGTTGTATTTTCTCAGCGATATACGAGTATATAACAACAACTTAGCCCTGGAAGCTTTATTCCTTTTTTAACATCTAGGAATATTTATATGCGTAGAAATCAATAGATGATTTATATACACTCATGAACAAACCTTAAGGAAGTGGAAAGTCTATCATGTTTTTTTTAAGAAGACGGAGCAATTTTGTCCACACTCAGTTATCACATTTGTCTTCAATAAAGGCCACTGTAATATCTTTCAGAGTTATTGTCTGAATCCCGATATGCATGATAAAAGGTACAACTTCCTTAAGTTTTATCCATGAGTGTATATAGATGCCAAACTTTGACAAGAATCTCTCTAAGGTTGTCTATACACTATAGATACACTATATATACACTATAGACTATATACACTATAGACTATACACTATATATACACTATAGATGCCAAACTTTGACAAGAATCTCTCTAAGGTTGTCTATACACTATCTATAGTGTCTTTAAATTCCTATTTGTGCAATAAAGATGAAAATAAAAGAAGGCTTTGAATGATGAAAAGGACCGTTGCTGATCCCTGAAATATGCATTTAAAACTGTCATAGCGTCATCTATAGGAATAAATTTGAACTAAATGTTGATTTAAACCTTTTCCTGAGTATTGACCACAAATACCCTTTCTTAATTAATCAATAATTCACATCCGCGTTTCGGTCTATTGGCCCTCCTCAGCGTGGCACAGACTTCATAGTCTGGACACTCAAAAGAAAACTTTAACGCTTCTTATAAAAGAATATAAGGATATTTTAAGATAAGATTAGCGTAAGTAGGCTTAAACATGTGTTCTGTGGAGCGGTCAGGAGAAGCCTATTTAATCTTATTCCAATATATTTTAACGTGGTAATGGATAAATAGACAGATCACAATGATACACACAGCATAAGATTATTTGAAAGAATAGTGCAAATGTGATATTGTACTGGGATAAGGTGCATAAATCATGAAAAAAAAAAAAGGCATCTCCTTATCGTGCAACTGAAATTTGCTGATGGCTTGCGCCATCTATCGGAATATATATCAACTATTCTCGTTTATTTTTAATTATTCCATAATTGGCCAAATACCCATTATTGATTAATCAATATAATCAATATCACATTTGCACTATTCTTTCACATTGTGTCGTGGTCTCACGCAATTCTGGCCTTAACCACCCGTTTCATGATTTTTCAGGATGCCTGAATGACCAGTTTTTTGGTCGTTGAGGTACAGCTTGCACCACGCTGATGAGGGCCAACAGCCCGAAACGCGTCCGTGATTAGGTTTTCTTGATTAATCAAGAATGGGATATTTGGCCAATTCTGGAATAATTAAAAATCAACGAGAATAGTTGATAATTATTCCGATAGATGGCGCAAGCCATCAGCAACTTTCAGTTGCACGATAAGGAGATGCCTTTTTTTATAATAAGATTATTTATTTATTATGTCAGCTCCGTCTAGGTGACTTCAGGTTTTTATATAGCTAATAAATTAACGCTAAAGAAAATTAAACAACAAAGCTATGGAACATATATGATAATTTCCTGAATACAGAATTATATTCTTCTGTCTATTTAATTGAGATTAATTATATATAAAATAAGTCATAAATTATTTCTTCTCGCCACAATATTTATAGTTTCTATATAGAGGTCTATATTTCTATAGATGGGCATAACCTTTTACAAAATTTCCGAATATTTAAAAATATATACTTTTTTGATGAAATATAAATCAATGCTTATTCTTTCGAATTAATATAACATCACACGAATCGCGTTCTTCTATCGCGAGCTATAGCGTTGCAAAAACGTTATTTAAATAATGGAACACCCTGTAATATTGTTTCCCACATGTTAAGCTCAAATAAACATGTTATATATATGTTTACACATAAGCTATTATGTTTATAATACAATATAATGCGGCTTATGATTGTAGAACGAAGTTTGACAATTATACCGCAAATGTTTCTTTTGAACGAAAAATCGAAATTTATTTTAAGGAGAAATAACCATTATATCTAACCTTAGGGATGAAGTATGAAAGGATGAATTGTGAAGAGTAATGATAAACGGAAAAATAAAGTGTCCAGGGATGGGAATTGTATTATAAATTACTTTATATAATATTTACGAATTGAAGAATATGTCGAGGGTAGTCTAGTGGACATGGCATCTGCCCGGTAAGCGGAACACTGTGGGTTCGTTTCCCATCCCTGAACACTTTATTTTTCCGTTTATCATTACTCTTCATAATTCATCCTTTCATACTTCATCCCTAAAGTTAGAAATAATCGTTATTTCTCCTTAAAATAAATTTCGATTTTCGTTCAAAAGAAACATTTGCGGTATAATTGTCAAACTTCGTTTTATTATGTTTATTGTTCACATAGGAAGAAGAACAAATTCTATATACCATATTTTACTTACACTCATGGACAAAAGTTTTTTTTTTTTTTTTGAAGGCGACAGAAACAATTTTGTTCATACTTGGTTTACTAGGTTATCTTGTGTGTCTTCAATAAAGTTCATTGTAATATCTTTCAGAGTTATTGTCAGAATCCAGATGTACATGCTAAAAGGTACAACTTCGTTAAGTGTCATCTATGAGTCTAGACATCAATATTAGGTTTGAGCGACTCTTGCTTCAAAAAGTAAAAGGACAAAGTTGCCTTTGCTGTCAGCACAGGCGGCAATTTGTGTCATTCTTCCAAGTCAACATTGCGCGACCATCCGTGAACGACCACCCATTATGTAATTGTCGGCCCTAAATATCGGACTTAGAATTAACAGAAGGGAAAAAAGGAGTCGCTTTTTTGGTGTCGATGGCAAATGGCCAAATTGATGGGAAACATTTGTGTTCATTCGTTTTTTGAGGGCACTTTTGAATGATTGATCTTGAGATGCCTAGTCAAAATATTTTAGGCTTTTTTGGAACTCGCAAACGGGTTTGAAGGAAAGATAGATTTGATGACCCTGCTTCGATTTGAAAGAACATCACAATGGGACGAAAAAACATTTAAACATTCTCGATTTTTTCTAAAATGTCTTGAAATTCTGCTCACCATTCATGTTTTGTAGAGATTTGAAGTAACGTTCTCTTCAGCCCGTGACAGATGTCAACATGTACAGTAGCTATCTAGAGCCAACTTATTGTAATGGAAATATCTTGTTTCTTTTTTTTTTTTCAAACAAACCAAACCTTCTGCTGTCGAGCATTGCTAGATGAAAATATCTGTATGTAATTCTACTGTCCTAAAATCTTATGTCTATAGTTTTCTCTAAAATATAATAACTAAGAATCCACCTTTCAGCGTAGCATCTATTAGCAGAATGATTCAATACAGTATTTGAGCTCTAAAAAAAACGATCTGGTAGATTATATGGTCAAAACCCCTGGGAGGGTTCACAACTGATGAGTTAAGCTCTCCCAATAATTTACCATCGCACTAAGGATAGTAGAAGCTTGTTTTATTTGAAAAAATTAAAATGCATGTTTAGTTGTAGTGTTACTTTTCTAACATAGATGGCGCGCATTATTGTGACTGGTAATTAAAATATCTTTCAACGAAATATTATATTGATTGTTGAATCCGTCGATCGAATTCAGCATTGGACACTTTTTTTTTCTCAATTCCATAAAATAATCCTTTATGTCAATATTGAATAAAAATATCAGGCTTCTAGGAAACGGTCTCTTTTAAAATGTTCAATCTATAGCTTTAGGGCAGGGGCACGCACGCCAACACCCTTTTATAGGATAAACTACTATACAACGTTAATAACGAGTTTACAAAGTGGGAAGAGGAGCTTCTTTTTATTAGCATGCACACAAGCTTTCGGACATATCGTCCTTCATCAGGTAAGAGTAATAAACGCGCTGAGGATCCATATATACACAAAGCTGAAAAGAAAATTTACATAACTGCAAAAGATAAAAGTATTTAAAGATAAAAATAAGAACCAAATATGCTAAAACGATTATAGGGATTAAATGCTAATAAATCTGGACTAAGTACACATGCACTATGAATGGTGTTAATCAAGGGCAGGCAAATGCAACCTATGGCTATTCACATAACATATGGTATTGTTCTGGTATATCTATATGCCTGTTGATGCTGTTTGTTTTTATTGACACAAATGCCTCTAGTAAAAGTCTTTGGTACTTATTATTGATATTGTTGTATAGAATGGATGGCTTTGTTAGATTGAATGTATGACCGGTTTGCATAGAATGACTGTAAATAGGGGAATTTAGGTTTTTATTAGAGATGTTTCTGGAATGCTCAACCATTCTGATGGCGACGGATCTACCCGTCTCCCCGACATAAGTGGCATTGCATTGGTCGCAAGAGACGGAATAGACGGCACCACCAGAACGGAGAGAACTCGCATGAAGGGAAGATCTGGTAATGGGGTGTCGGATTAGTGTGGCGATGTTAGGTGGGTTCTGGAAGTATGTTGTAATGCCATGTTGCCTTAAAAACCTGGCTATGGTGATAGACTGGGGGCAAAAAGGAAGGGAGCAAATATTTCTGTGTATAGCTGGAGCACTGTTGTGGTGAGGGTCATGCATGTGTTTAAGAATGAAGGGGGTCGGGTAGCCGGATTTGGATAAATATGAAAATATTTTAGCCTTTTCTATTGTTTGGAATAACGGGAGGGAACAATGAGTAAAGATACGTTTAGTGAGAGCTCTAACTGTATTGATTTTGTGTGGTGTTGGGCAATGTGACCGGAAGTTTGTGTGGTGTGGGGGTGTGTTGTTTTTATAGTATACTGTGGTATGGAAACTGCTGGGGGTGCGTATGACTAGTGTATCTAGGAAAGGTAGGACTGAGTGATTTTCTGTTTCATGGGTGAAGGCTATGTCTGGGTGGAAGGAGTTGAGGTCAGATAGGATGTGAGAGGCAGATACCTCACTTACCAAGCAAAAGGTATCATCAATGTACCGCCTCCATAGAAAGATGTCTGAAGAATGGCGTGAAGTGATCCATTGGTCCAGTGACCTCATGACAACCTCAGCCACCACGGTTGAGAGGGGGCTACCCATGGGGGAGCCCTTGGTCTGCTTGAAAAACTGGGTATCAAATGTGAAGGTGGACATGCCTAGGCATATGGAAGTGAGCTCGACAACCGTCTCCGCGGTGAGGGTGTCTAACAGGGGGGCATTTTCGAGGAAAGTGCGTAAACTATTAATGATCAAGGGGTGGGCAAGTGAGAGATATAGAGACGTTACATCGAAAGAAACCATTATGGACCTGGGGGGAGGTGTGAGGCTGGTGATATAGGACACAAACGAGGGGGAGTTTGCAATGGTATATTCCCATGGGGGAGACTGTAGAAGGGGGGTCAAGAAGTTGGACAAAAATTTTGACAGGGTATATGCCGGAGAGAGATGGTAAGATATGATTGGTCGGAGGGGAACATCGGGCTTGTGAATTTTTGGAAGGCCGTAAATGTAGGCTATTTGGGCGAGGTTAGCTGTGAAGTCGTTATATTGCTCTTTAGTGATCTGCTGGGACCTTTTTAATCTTAACAATAGTAGACGGAAATTCTTAACCGATGTTTTATGTTCCTGTTCAGTGATGGCAGAAAAAATGGAGTGTTGGTCGAGAACGTTTTGCATTTTTTGCTTGTAAACGGTAGTGTTGAGAATTACGGTCTGTGAGCCTTTGTCGGATTTTGTTATGACTATGTCTCTATTGCGTTTAAGACGGGAGATAACCCTATTGGCTAGGGACGGTTTAGGGATATTGTAGGGTCGTTGAAGGGTGGAGGTGACAAAATGCCTGATCCTATGGGTGTCTTGGTGGTTAAGGCCTCTGAGAGCGGGTTCCACACCAGCTATGATGCGAGGAATATCAGAAGGCCCAGGCAGTCTGTATTTTAGGCCCAATGACAGAATCTCAGCATCAGCAGATGGCAAGACATAGTCCGAGAGGTTGACCACTCCTTGGGGTGACTGGGGAAGATAGGCTTCTAGTAGATAGGCAGGGAAGTTGTACTTCTTGATCCAGTGATGAAGCTTGGAGTTGTGACGTTGCGTTATATCGTTCTTCTGGTGCCGGATGTCCCTTGTGATGGATTGCAACAGATCGGCCATTTCTGGATTGGTTAGTAGCTGAGAGACCAGAAAGATCAATCCCTTGACGGACTTAGAAATAAATCGGATATTGGAGTGGCAACCTTTAATTCTAGACGATAACAGATGGAGTTGGGCGCGGCGTATGACGACGGATGAAAATGGATTGCGAACAGGATCCCTGATTCGAAGGGATGGAGGTATAAAATCAGCCGTTTCACACAGTTTGTTAAAGTTCAAATGGAGGCGCCATCTTGACAACTGTAACGATTTCTTTCGCAACTGATAGGTATAACGAGGTAGGTCTTCAGCGGAAGGATTCATGATGGATTCCAGGATAAAAAGCGTAAAATGAGCGAATTAAGTAGAACTGCTCTTCACTGAAGGTTAATAACGAGTTTACAAAGTGGGAAGAGGAGCTTCTTTTTATTAGCATGCACACAAGCTTTCGGACATATCGTCCTTCATCAGGTAAGAGTAATAAACGCGCTGAGGATCCATATATACACAAAGCTGAAAAGAAAATTTACATAACTGCAAAAGATAAAAGTATTTAAAGATAAAAATAAGAACCAAATATGCTAAAACGATTATAGGGATTAAATGCTAATAAATCTGGACTAAGTACATATGCACTATGAATGGTGTTAATCAAGGGCAGGCAAATGCAACCTATGGCTATTCACATAACATATGGTATTGTTCTGGTATATCTATATGCCTGTTGATGCTGTTTGTTTTTATTGACACAAATGCCTCTAGTAAAAGTCTTTGGTACTTATTATTGATATTGTTGTATAGAATGGATGGCTTTGTTAGATTGAATGTATGACCGGTTTGCATAGAATGACTGTAAATAGGGGAATTTAGGTTTTTATTAGAGATGTTTCTGGAATGCTCAACCATTCTGATGGCGACGGATCTACCCGTCTCCCCGACATAGTGTTGAGAATTACGGTCTGTGAGCCTCGTCGGGGAGACGGGTAGATCCGTCGCCATCAGAATGGTTGAGCATTCCAGAAACATCTCTAATAAAAACCTAAATTCCCCTATTTACAGATATTCTATGCAAACCGGTCATACATTCAATCTAACAAAGCCATCCATTCTATACAACAATATCAATAATAAGTAC